GGTGAGTGAAGATGTTTCGGTACTGACCTCGAGTACTGGCACTCAGTGCCTGCCCAAGGAAACTTCCTGGCATCTGTCTGAGCTGAGCACCGTGTTTCCCTCACTGGCTGCTGCTGCGGATGGTCTGAAAGCCACTGGGATTAATACTGCTGGAATATATGGTTTGTTTAGCTATTTTTATTGACCCGTGAATATACCTACTGTATAATGTATTGTAACGTTAGTAGTTCAGTCCTGCGATGTTTGCTGTAGAAAATCTTCACGTCAAGCCAGTGGGAAATTTTGCTAGGGTGAGGAGTGCAGGCCTGGCCTCTACTTTGCCTTTTTTCTTTTCCATTGCAACACAATTAACCTTTTCATTAGAAGAGCTCTGTTCCAAATAAGCAAACTCCTCAATGTGTATTACTGAGCCATTTCAAGCTGTCTCTTGCTTCGAAACAAAACATCTTTGTTCCAGCCATGCATGACATTTGAAGACCTATTTATACAATGTGTCAGCTCCATTTGTTTTCTTCATCCTGATACTTTCCGCTGTATTTTTCGTTAGCCATCCAGATTGCAAGGACCGAGGCTGCTACTGGTTTCCTTCAGTGCTGTTCCAGACTGAGGCATTGGCTGCCTTTGGCCTCTCTCCCCTTTTGTGGGCAGAGGTGAAACAACCCAAAATCAAACACAGTTTTGCCTGCTTCATTCTCTCTGGACTGAGCCCAGCGCCACCAGTCAGCCGAGGGATGGAGCGCGTGGAGCGCTTGCACGGTCTGGTATCACAATTTCTCTATTGATGCCCCGCCTGGGGCTGACACTGCCTGTGGGAGGTACATGGCTGCCATCCCTTCTGCTGCAGGGTCCCTCTGAGGGCCAGATTTCCAAGTTGTATCATTAAATATGCCCTCCTGCAAAACACCTGCTTTTTCCTTAGACGTCCATAATTTGTCCCAAATTAGCCTCTAACCAGCCTTTCTTGTCTGAGAGCAGAACACTAACTGATGCAACAAAACCTAATGTAAAATTTAAAAAAAAAATCCTCATCAACATGTCAAGTAATAAAACTTAACATCCTCCTGATTTTAGTATTGGGTAAGTGTAAATATTTATGGGATTTGATCCCTTGTAAATAATTTGCTTGGGACACATCTTCTCCTTCCAGAAAAAAACTCAGGGAAATGCTGCCCCTGCTACTCAAGCAGCGACGTAATGTCTGTCCCAGCGCTGGCACTACCTGGTGACAAATGAAAGTTTAAGTCCTTTTTGAAATCTTTTCCACAACTTGCCAGCTGAAGGTTTCAAGCTGCTTTGACGTGTGCAGGATGCCAGGGAAATACCGCAAGCTTAGCTTTAACCAGAAAGAGAGCGTGAAGGTGCCAACCCAGCAGTGATGAGCCTGGGGTTGCAATGGCAAAATCCCATTTGCTCTCTCCAATAATATTCTCACCAGGAAGTTTGGGGAAGGAGGGTCAATCAGCTCTAATTCAAGCAAACCTGCTCCTTCCAGCTATTAGGTGGCCCACTCAAAGCCTTTGATAAGGCCAAGCAAGACTTCAGCGTTGGCCTTGTGCTTCCCCATCCATGTAAGAGAAGACAGAAGGTTGGGGCTATGAGATCAGAGATTAATCTTCAGAGCACCTCAGAGCTGTGTTTTATGTAGACACTCTCTCCAGCTCTTCGGAAAGTGCACAGTCTCCGTTGAACGTGACGCTGCAGGTCATTTTCACGCCAAACTTGGTATGTGCCTTACTCATCCAGACCGCAATTGGCAGCCTTTGTGCACGGTGGCTTCTGCTGCAAGGAGCAGAGGCGGTGGCGTGCGAGGAGGAATGCCTTCCCTACCATGTGCTTCAAAAGCAGTTCTTGTTTGTGAGCCTTGCTTTGCATTCAGCAGCTGGGCTAGGGCTGCGTGCATGGGCTCGCTCGGCACAAATGAAACCGCGTCATACATATGCTGTACATTAAGAGCGTTTGATCTCCTGCTCGCTGCTCAGATGCTCCCTCTTCCTCTCTGTAGGTTTTGAGGAGTATAGAGCCCAGTGGCACAACCTCTGTCTGCATGCATTTATCGGCTTTGTGATGGTAACTGCAGCGCTTGACACAAAACAGTTGAGAAAATGTTGCTGGCCACAGCCACAGAACCTGCCCTCATCTTTTCCGTAATGGTGGCGGAAATAAACTCCTCAAGTTGTATTTTAGTATTTAAAGACCAAGGGAAAGGACTGCCAAAGTCGATGGAATTGTGTCCAGCTGATGCAACGCCTGGGTTAGCAAAGCAAAATGCAAATCTCCTCCAAGTCCAGGAATTGTGGCCAGGCACTGTCAAGGCCACCGCATGCCTGGATGGGCAAGGGACAGCTTGGGTAACACCAGGCTCCAGGCCTGGTTGATCACTGTGTCACTGCTTACCGTGCATTTTCGAGTCATTTATTGCAGTGACCATTACTGTTATGTTCTGCTAAGAAGGCACACATGTCTCTGATCCAATTTAAAGACACTGGTGAGACTGGGGGGGAAGCTCCACTGTGTAGAGGGCTTGATGGCTCTTCAGCATTCCCCTACACAGACCGGGAACCAGGGAATACAGTCAATTGGAAGTGGTACAACAGGGAAGAAGCACAGGCAGCAACCAGGTAACAATAGAAATGAGTTTTATTTTGTAAAAAGTTATAAAATGAATATTGTACAAAAATAAAGTCTGTAGAGAACTTTGGTTGATTAACACAAATGACTGAGACATAAATTGCAGGTGAAGTAAAAAACTCCAGAGAAGCACACTCCTTAGTAAGGTTTAAAAAAAAAAAAATCACAAACTTTACCCTTTTGTATACTGAA